ACTTCTCACACTCCTGACATTTGAACGGTTTCTCACCTGTATGAACTCTTTTGTGCCTCCGAAGGTTTGATTTATGAGAAAAACACTTCTCACACTCCTGACATTTGTACGGTTTCTCTCCTGTGTGGACTCTCTGATGATTCACAAGGTTTGAATTCGAGGTAAAGCCTTTCCCACACTCCTGACATTGGTACGGTCTCTCTCCTGTGTGCTGAGTCTGATGCTTCACGAACTTTGTCTTCTGAGGAAAACATTGCTTACACTCCTGGCATTTGTATGCATGTTCTCCTGCGTGGACTCTCTTATGATTTACAAGCAGTGAACTTTGAGCAAAACATTTATCACACTCCTTGCATTTGTGGGGTTTCTCTCCTCTATGGACTCTCTTGTGCACCACAAGGTGCGAATTTTGAGAAAAACATTTCCCACATTCTTGACATTTGTATCGTTTTTCTCCTCTGTGGACTCTCTGATGGCTCAAAAGGGTTGTACTGCAAGAAAAATGTTTGCTACACTTCAGGCATTTGTACGGTTTCTCTCTTGTATGAACTCTCTGATGCTTCATAACGTTTGGATTCCAGGTAAAACCTTTCCCGCACTCCTCAGATTGGTATGGTTTCTCTCCGCTGTGCCGAGTCTCATGCTTTTTCAAGTCTGTCTTTTGAGGAAGACATTTCTCACACTCCTGGCATTTGTGTGGCTTCTCCCTGACACTTTTCTTTGCAATGTGGGTCCTCTTGTGAAGGATCAGGGTCATCTTTTGGGCAAAATATTTCCCACACAGGATGCATTTGTAGGGTTTCCCTCCAGTAATTCTTTTAACATTTGTGTGTGTTTGCCAGTGTCTGACAAGATCCATTTTCTGCACAAAGCACTTGCTGCTCTTTGCACATATGGCTGTTTTCTTCAAATTATCTGCAGAGAAGAGAGACAAGCACAGACCAAGACTGAATTCTGGGTATGACCAGAAACGGACAATCTGCACCCAACGTGTCGCTCTCTTGGCTCCTGGTGATGCCCTCTGTCATCTACATCATACTTTCATAACCCCCTTTCCGATCTCAGCATTTCTCTTTACCTTTAGGATTTTTTTTTCAATTACTGGAAAAGAGTGGGCCTTACCCAGAGATGTCACCATCCTAGAATTCTCCTCCATGACTTCCCTCTGTAGGGCCCTCTGGTCAGGATCCAGCAGTGCCCACTCTTCCTGGGTGAAACACACGGCCACCTTTTCAAAGGTCACAGAAGCCTGGAGAAAAAAGTATATTTTTCTCACAGCTCACACAGAGGCTATCTACTTTAATACAACCCTCCAAAACAGGTCTCTGAATCAGGCGAGATAGAGATATAAAGGATTTCTCTGCTTTTCTCACCATGGAGAATGTTATATTATACTTTCTTGACATACAGTAGGACCTCCATATCCAAGGGCGATCAGGTCCAACCTTCCGCTGATGCTGAACAACATGAATTATGTTATGTTGCTGTTGTTCAGTCCTCATATCTGACCATGGAGACAACTATGTTATACTTTCTTGACATACAGTAGGACCTCCATATCCAAGGGCGATCAGGTCCAACCTTCCGCTGATGCTGAACAACATGAATTATGTTATGTTGCTGTTCTTCAGTCCTTAGGTCATATCTGACTCTTCGTAACCACATGGCCAGAATAGCTTGGATTTTTCTTTTAATATTTTTAATTTTTCAGACCATGGATAAGTGAATCTGTCGATACAGATCCTGCAGATAAAGGAGCACTATTGTATAGGTGTTACAGCAAGGAACTCCTTAAAAAAGGCGGCGACCAGCCAAATTCAGGACAGGCATGACTAAAGAATACAAATGACTTTTACGAGTTAAGCACTCAAAGCTGTGGGGTCTGGATGGGTGACTCTATCAGTTTTCATTCCTCTCATGTTTAATATCTCATTTTCCTGAAATCCCAAATACAAAGCACTTAATGGTTTTTGTTTTGGATATGTTGTGACACAAGCAAAACTGGAACAAATGCCCCCTTGATTCTTCCCAGGGATGGGATGAGAGCATTTGCTGTATGGATGGACTGCAGTTTTGCCCTTCTGCTTACCTGATGGGGTTCCTCTCCATCCGAGGGAAGGGAAGATGGCGGAGTCCTTGCTACTGGCATCATTCCAGCTCCTGTATGGGAATGCGGCATCAGTTGCAACCGTTTCTCACAGAGACAAAGATCAAAATCCTATAAACACGTACTAGAAAATTAGACCAATACTAATTCCAATACTAATACTAATATTAATACTAATACTAACAAAAGAAGGATGACAAAATTTTTGTGTAACCTTAACAACTAATTGCTATATTTTGTCTGACGAAGTGGATTTCCCCTTGAGACCTTTTTGTCTACTTTATTTTTAATGTTGTTTTGCTTTTGGCCTTCATTGCTAGCACAGATCAACACGGCTTCCTTTTTCTAAAACTTATTAGAAAGTAACTCCAGGATAATGCAAAATATTGCAACGGAGTAGCCAGGTATTAGTTCTTAGCAGAGGTCATTGCCACTGAAACTCAGAACTGCCATGAAACCCACTGGATGATCACAGCTCAGTTATTCTTCTACAACCAGACCTACCTCACAGGACTGTTGTTCTCAGGCCTGAGTTGTTAAGAAAAAAACTACCAAGGTCTTGAGCTCATTGAGTCAAACATGGGATACAAACAGAATCATCGAATCAATGTATGGAGAGGCCAAACAACAATACAATGACAACTGGACGGAGTGAGACAATTTGGATCCTGCCCTATGCTGAATTTGTGTTTCGGACACATAGATATAATTTTTATTTCTTTTTCTTTCGGGTGGAGCTGCACCTTTTCTCTTTGACCTTCTGACCACAAACCTAAGCATTTCTTTTCTCCTTTAAAGTCCTTAAAGTGTTGTTCCAGCTCCTGTGTGAGAGATGCTGAGAACGTGGAGTCAGATGCGTATATTTCTCACAGAAACATATGCAATTTTCTCTGCCGGAAACTTAGACTGTCCTCCTTTGGGCACCTCATGAAAAGGCAAGATTCTCTGGAAAAGACATTCATGCTGGTAAAGGTGTACAGCAGCAGGAAAAGAGGAAGACCAAAGACGAGATGGACTGGTAACCTTTAGGAAGTCACACAGTGCAGTTTGCAAGAGCTGAGCTAGGGCTGTTGAGGACACGAAATTATTTTGGGAGATGGCTGGTTCATGAGGTGGGAAAGATGGATGGGAGCAGGAAAAGACCAAATACAGTGGTGCTCCGCATAGCGACAACAATCCGTTCCAAAAAAAACACATCGCTATCCGGATTCATCGTTATGCGGGGCAAAAAGCCCATAGGAACGCATTAAAACATGTTTAATGCCTTCCTATGGGAAAAAACACAGAAACATGTTTAATGCCTTCCTATGGGAAAAACACACTGTTATGCGAAGATCCTCCATGCAGCCGCTATTTTCGCTGCTCGGTAAGCAAGGAAAGGGCGCAAAAATGCTGCGGATGGCCATTTTTTTAACCCGGCGGCCATTTTGGAACCACCGATCACGTTTAAAAAAACATCGTTATGCGAAAATCAGTAAGCGAAAAGCTTATCGATTGCGAAAAAAACATCGCTATGCGGATTCGCTAGTCATGTGGGGCACCACTGTATGAGATGGACTGGTAACCTTTAGGGAGTCAGAACAATTAAAAGACAATGTATAGAACTGGGGGGGTGGAGACTCAGGAAGATATCAATGCAGCCCATGATTTTCCTCCATCCTTCAGACAAGGAGATCGCCCTCTTCCTTTCCCCTGCTGGCATTTGACTTTACCCTGCAAACTGGCATCTCCTTCACTGCCTGGCGTGTTCCCCCTTGGCAGAAGATGCTGTCTGCTCTCCGGCTGTGCCTCCTTCTCTGTTACTGAGAAATCAGGCTGAATGTCCACAGAGAGATTTTTCCTCTGAAAGAGCAATGAAGGATTAAATCCAGAAGGACGACAGAAAAGGAATGAGAAAGGGACAAACACTGAGAGGTTGGTGGTGGAATTTGGGGGTCAGGGGATGTCTGTCTCTGGATATTTTCAAAGAACTATAAGCCCCTTGTGGAACATCTTAAAAGATCCTCCTTTAAATTTGCCACCTACTAGACTATTTCTGGGGTATAAA